GCTGTCTTGCTGTCCTCGCCGCCTCTGGACACCGGTGGGGGGGTGCGGGTCACCTGTATCGGACGTCTCCTGCTCGGTGTCCTCACAATCGGCCCCTGCTGCTCCAGGGCACGTAGGATTTCTCGCCTGTTGCCCTCGTCCTCGAGGCCACCATGTTGCATAGCCTCCAGGAGGATCGAAGCAAGGCCACCTTCCTCTGTACCATCGGGGGACTTCAGCAGCTGTGCAAGCTCTGCAGCTGCTTCGGCATCGGTGCTTCTTTCCTTCTTCTCCTTCGTCCGGGTGCTCGGCTTGAAGGCATCCTTGAGCTCCTGTAGGGCCTCCTCTTTCGCCTGCAAGGTGTCGTCGGCCTCGGCCTGGAGCTTTGCAAGCTTCTCGTGGTACCTGGTCCTCTCCTTGATGTAGGCCTGTCGGAGTTCTACCTGGAACTTCTCCCACTTGTTGTCCAAGCCCTGCTTTTCTTCCTCGAGGCGGCGGGAGCGTCCCTCCACCTTCCTGAAGAAGTTCAGGGTCCTCTGGATATTCTTGGCATATTCTCCAGGCTCCAGGTTCCATTCGTCCACTTCCATGGCCTCTTTCCGCCCAGCCACAGAAGCTTGTTTCGGTTCGTCCCGGCTCGAGGAAGGCATCATCTCGAAGGACGGGAACAAGGAGTAGTCCTTCGTCTCCTTGTTGTGCTCGGCCTGCCATGATCCACCTTGCTTCCACTTGCCACCGCCCTTGGACCACGAGGACGGTTGCGAAGACGGCCAGCCGCCATAGCCTTTGCCGTAAGGCTTGTTGGCCCTGGGCTCCCATGCCTCCTTTCGTCCCATCGCCAGTTCTTTGTACGCAGGCTTCGAGTGATGGGCAGCAAGCAGAGCCAGCGCCCTTCGTGGTGGCGGGTGGCCTTCCCGCCTGGCTTTGTGCACAGTCCGTCTTGCTTTGGAACGCTTGGCGCGAGCCTTTCTGTGCCAAACTGGAGATCGAGGAATGGCTCACTTGTGCTCGGCTCGCGGCACCTAGGGGCCCCTGGCAATACACGGCTCTTAGTCCGTGTTCGATCCAGAACCCTAAAAAAAAATATATATATCAATATCATCAGCCCAATACATGTAGATGGGCGCCGGCCGGCCTAGCTCGGTCTTCTCCGCGTCGAGGACCTCGAACTTCTGCACCGGCAGCTCCAGGCTCGCACCAAAGCCCACCTGGGAACCGACAAAAGCCTCTGCCCAAGAAGTGTTTCTTGGCGCCCTGGGCTTTCCGGCCGCCGGGTAGGCCCACCAGTTTCGTATCACCGTAGCGACATCCGCCGTCTCCCCTAGCTGGAAAGAAGATCGAAGGGGGCTCCCGTTCGAGATACACATATTTCCCTGGCCTGGCCGCCTCACGGACCCTTCAAACAGGGTGAGGGATGCGGCGTCGGCGTCGCCTGTACCTTCCATACATGTGCTTCCATCGCGGTTCAAGTGCCCGGCCCCTGCAGGCGCGCGCCTTTGTCTTTGCCTGGCCTGGAGTCGGAGAAGCGGCGGCACCGCTGGGCGGACGCGAGCTGTGCGGGCCCCGGGACAGGGAGTGCTCGCCGTGCTCGAAGCGCTCCAAGGACCAAGTGCCTCCCGCGAACGCATTCGTGCACCATAGGGCCGCTCTCAATGCAACTTGCCGTCTCCACCCTCCACCCTTCGTCTATCTCATCACACCGAAAGTGAGGGCGCGCTGGGCGCGCTGCAATGCTATGCAATGCTCTGCAGCGTGCGTACAGCTGTAAAGAAAGGAAGCCCTTGGCTGCAGTTGCGACATTGGGGAGTGGTGGGCAGTGTGGACGTTTTTGAAGCATTCTGAGAGCATTTTCCACAAAACAGATCGTCAAAGAGAGCGAGCGAGTGCATGCACCCGCACGGTCCTCTCTGCAACACCACCACAAACGTGAGCTAGATCAACAAGGTCGGGCAATACTGCTCACCCTTTGTGAGACAAGTTCCCGTTCTCAGTTGGGGCCTGAGATGCCACGGTTCCCACTGTCAGTGGCCCCCACGGTCTGTTGTATACAGCCGGAGCCCGAACACTCTCTTTGTTCGTAAATGAAAGCTCGGGGTTCCGGCCTCATGCGCCTCATGCCATGCTGGCTTGGGCCATGAAAGTCGAATCAACGGTCAACAGGAGAAACGGGAGCCGCCGTTTGTTCATGCTGCTGTGACCATGTCTTTCCGGCTGCAACTTTTCTTCTGGGATGTGGAAGCAAGACTCCCTCTGGGAGATGCGGTCTCATAGTCATGAAAAAAAGAGAAACCCCTGGGAAAGGCTCTTTTCAAGAGCTGGCCGGGGCAGTGTCACCCTTGGCCAGCACGGCACGGGCACGTGCCACGCCGTCGATAAGGTGCTCAAACAGCAACGGACCCTTCGCCTCGCGAAGGCCATTCAAAGCTTCAAGGCACAGGCCATGTGCTACAACGTATATACTTCCATATATATATATATAGGTAGATAGATAGATAGATTGCAACGTAACAGCGTAAGGATAGGATTCGCGCTTACCATTGTCAACATTGTTCCTTTGTATAGGCAGCCCACCCCGGCAGTAGCCGGATCGCGCCGAATTGAGGGAGGGCTTTAAAGCTCGGAAATTGTCGTCTTGGGGTCGTCTTGGGGCTTTTGGTAGCATCCTTGCTCCAAGCGCTCTCCCCGTGTGCAGGTGAAACCATCAAAGCCAGCTTCGATGTTCTCCAGCGTATGACACTCCTTCCGAGCTTGCTCTCATGTGTTTCTCGCAGAAGTGGCAAGGGCGGCAAGGCTGGGTGGCCGGCACTTCTGGACGAGGCGAAAACCTTCTGGAAACTTGGCGTGCAGCCGCTCGATGGTGTTCGAATAGTCCAGCTGACGGCGGGTTGAAATAGCTCTTATAGTTAGGCCAGTTAGGAGCGCTGTTCACTGCACAGGCCTCGGGTGGGAACCAGGACTGAAGGTCCGCGGCCCCGTGCTCCGAGGCGTTCAGAGCCTTTCGAGAGGAGAGAAGCGCAGAGAAGCCCAGACCCTCTCAGAAGTCTCTGCAGCGGAGCGCGCAAAGCTCACCTGGAAGACCTCGAACCAGCCCTTGTCCCGCACAGGCCACACCTTTTGGAAGCTTCGGGACTTCGGGAAACGCCGAGCGGGGCTTTTTTTTCTCGCGGGTCCCTGGCCGGATTCAAGGGAAAGGAGTAGCCCTCTTTGATGCGCTCAAGCAGGAAGGCTCGGAGGCTGGACTCATCCTTGTAATCCCAAGGCCTCAAAAAAAGGAGACAGACCAGCGAGGCAGCTAGGGCAGCACTTTTTTGTCGGGCGCCCCGCTTGCCGTGCATCTCGTTGAAGCCATGCCAGACCACCAGGAACTCGTCGTCCAGCTCCTGGGCTGCTCTCTGGCTCTGACTCAGTCCGAGCGGCGCCCCTCGCAGGCCGGCCTGGGGGAAGTAGAAGTTGCCTCGGATTCTAAGCTGAAAAAAAACACCGATCCGCTGGCCGCGACGACCGCGACGCGGCATGCGATGCGATGGCAATGCGATGGGCTCCCGGCTACACTCGGCACCGTGGCGGACAGCACCACAAGGAGCAGTCTCTGCTACCACATCAGCAATGAGCTGGTACCTGCCGCTCTGTTACACGTTACACTATCGCAAGGTCTGTCCTCCCTTCGAGCGCACGAGGTGGGATCCCCGAAGCCGAACTTGGGCAGCTCTGGGTGGACCCCATCCTCGGACAAAGGGCGAAAAGGGCGAAAAACGCCCTCAAAAAAAGGGCCCTCGTCAGGACGTCCTCCTTCTCGTTCTCCTTCTTCAACACCTCGGCGTGCACACTGTGGGTTTTGAGAGGGGGAGCGAGAGAAAAGAGCGCCTCCAACCACCGGGAAGTCCAGGGGTTGTGGTCCAGTGACCCCAAAATTTCCTGCGTCCTTTGCAGAAGCCACGTGATGAGCTGCGCCTGCAGGCAGTTACGTAGGGGGAGTCGCCGCCCATGGCGTCGCCGCTCCCTCGCGCGCCTGGTCCGCGGGGAGCTGGCTGTAGCGCATGCCTCAAGACGGATATATCCGCGCGGAGGAGACGAAGAGACACCATGCACCCGTCCTCGACTGCCCACCGTGAAGGTGTCGAAGTCGGAGACCACGGGCTTCACGTGGGCCTCCGCATACCTCGCAGTGAAAGCCATGGCATTGGGCCGTGCCGCAGGGATGCGCATTCCAGGCTTCTCGGCCACGAAGGACCCGAAGACGAGACGATGACCACGACTGCTACTGCGGCTGCTATACGCCCGCTCCTCGTCCTCTTCGCTTCAACTACTGCGACCCCTCCTGCCGATTCGTGCCGGTCTCTGATTCGCCTGACCCGAGCGCAACTTCCTTGTCGCCTCTTGTGTGCCCTGCCGTCGCCATCTCTAAATTGAGGGCGGAGGAGAGCTCGGACGAGCTCAGACACTGAGGCAGCACGCAGCGCAGCACAGCTAGCGGCGGTCTCACGCGATGAGCAAACCACGGGGATTCATCGGGTCGCTCTCGTCGTACTGGTAGAGGACCACCTGCAGGTCTTAAGCAGCGGCAGCAGGCGCCAGCGGGCGCCAGCGAGTCGCGCAAGCCTGGGGCTCGGATTTCCCGCGGATGGCGTGCAAGTTCATGTCCATGAAGGCCGGCTCCGATCGCCGCCCGGTCTCCCAACCTCAGACTCGGAAGGCTCTGAATTTTCTCCCCCTTGTGTCAAACTGCCAAAGCTGGGCCAACCCGGCCCATGACCGGGGTCAGGTCCGATCTCACGATGTACATCTCGCCTGGCAGCGGCGAAGGCCATGTCTGGGCTTCTCTTTGTATCTGCGCGCGTCCGCGCGTCTGTTTTTTTTTAAAGAAGACGATACTTACAAACCTGCAAGAAGTCACTGGGCTCCGCGTTGGAGGCTCCCCGCGTTTTTGCAGCTTGGCGTGAGGCTCGCATTGTCGGAAACACCACAACCCGTGTCTCTTCAACGGGGGGCCCAGTCTGGCGTCTGTCGCATCGAAGCCCTCCTGACCTGGAGCACACACATATGGGCCATATATAGGTCATAGTCATAGGAGTCATAGGTGCATCTGCCCGTTGTTTTCCGCAACGTGTTTGTTATAAGCTGTTGTCACAGCCACAGCGAAAGGGTGCGTGGCAGCGGTGTGCAACTCTGTTGGTCGGAACTGCCGTAGTGCATGCCGTACTGCATCGCTGTGGGCAGACCGCTGATCTTTCCCTTTAAGCATTTGCTTTTGGAGGTAGGCTTCGTGGGACAAGTTGGTGCGCTCCGGAGGTCCAGTCAGAGAGCGCTGAAATTCAGTGTGGAATGGGCACCTCGTGTTGCTGACAAGCCTGCCAACTTAAGAGGGACTTAGAAATCATACTGCAGCGGCACAAGGGCTTTTCTTCTGGTGACCACCTGATCTGGGTTGCACTGGGTGTGTTCCCGTTACATGGAGTCGAGAAATATTTCTGAAACACTGTCTCTCGTGCTTGAACTTGCAGGTCTGAAAGTCAGAGTCCTGAGGAGGGACTGTAGAGGTGAGGCGGCATGCCAACGCAGGCGCAAACGCACGCGCAGGAGTATGTATGCATGCTTCTGCGCATGATCATGTGTGCCTCCGTGCCACTCTGCGGCGGATGCGGGTGTGGGCTCAAGAGGCCTTACTTCTAAACGGCCTTAGAATCTTAGAACCCCCATGCGGGGCTCTGGCGGATGAGCGGCTCTGGCAGATCCAGGCCCCAACTCTCGGGCCTCAGAGGCCAATTCTGAGCGCTTCGGGCGGCTTTTTTCTTTGGGCTCCCGTGCTGGAAGTCGTCCACGAGGCGAATGGACCGGTCCTCTGTTTTAAGAGAGACGAGGGGAGAGAAACTCAGGAAAACGACAGGACATAGTCCAAAGCCCGAAAATCCCCCGGCGGCCTCGATGTCCAAGCTGGTGTCCTCCAAGGCCGCCTCCAAAAAGTTCGGAACGGGGCTCCACTCTCGCGCGATCGAACCGCGGTCCAGTGCCTGGAGGAGCTTCTGCGCCTCCTGCCGCGAAGCCTCACATGGATGACTCCTCGACTCCTCCCTCATCTTCGCTCCCCTTCGCTTCTCCGGGCCTTGGTCTTGTAGTAGACGGTGACTCGCGACTCGCGCGGAGACCTGCAGAGCGGGCGCACCGGTCTTTCGCACCACGCGGCCGCCATGGCCGCTTCTCACGGCTTGGGCCCCCGTCTGCTCGATGATGGACCGGTGGTCATTGTCCGAGATCTGGATGAAGGGCACGAAGCCAGAGAGCACCTCTTTGCAGGGACTTCTTGCCTTCCTTCGGCAACGCTTCAAGCTTCAGGACCCCAGCCCCCTTCTTCGCGGATTTCCCCTTCACGTTCAAGCCCTTGCCCACCTCAGCGAGGCACAGATCCTTTTCTCGGTGCGGGTGCCCAGGTCTGCAGAGTCAGGGAGTCAGGGTGCGTACGGCCACCCCAGACAGCATCTTGGCAATGGCGTCCTTACTGGTAGGCCGGTACACGGCAAACCTCAAAAGAGCGGGGCACATTGGAGTGCGAGCGCTGCGCTGCGAGCTGGGGGGAAGGCCAGGTGCTCTCGCCGTGAGCCTTGGCATCTGGCCTGGGGCCGGAAGCTGTATAGAGTAGCATCGAGTCGAGCAAAGAGAGGCTCCGGGCGTCAGCTGATGCAGCTTCAGACTGCCGCGGGGTCCCCGAGCGTCCCCGGTCATGTAGAAGTCTGCGATGAGCTTCCTGACGACTGAGACTGGGAGCTCCAGCTGGGGCGGCCCTGCAGTCCGCCTTGGATCCGTGAGGTACTGCTGCTGTTGCAGGTCCGTCATGGGCCCGAAGAGCCTGGAAAAAAGGAGCGGGAGGTGGGGCCGGGGGGGCGGCAGTCCGCACCTTTCGAACTGCTTCCGGGTCAGGGCCAGCACCTCGAACCAGGAGACACAAAGGCTCCACACGTCTCCAACACGTCCCCGTGTGCGCCTCGACGCTGGTGACCGCAGACACGAAGGCCGCCCGGGGAGCGTTCTTCAGCAGCGCGAGCCTCAGTGAGGAGTCAGAAGGCGGCGGCACCGGGCCGGGAGCTTTGGGAGCCCGGCTCTCCGAACAGGTCTCCCGCCTTGTAGCGCTTATACTCCTGCTCATCGTTGCCTCTTCGAGGAGCACTTCGCGGGAGGACCGAGTTGCTTAAGCCCCCGGCCTGTTCGGACCCAGACTCGTGCCTGAGAACATGCAACCTCCCCTCAGCCACATATCCCTTTTTAGGCACTTTTTCTGTTTCCGAGGCCGTGGCGACGCCCGAGAGCATGATAAAGAACTCCTTGCCTTCCTCGTGCTGCCGGATGATGTCCTCGATCGTGGGATCCCGAGCGGGAGGGAACTGTTTCTTTCTTCTCAGCTTGCATTTGGTTCCTCCTTGGGCTGGTAGGTCCGCTTCTGCAAAGTGTCGGCGATGCGAGCGATGCCCTCTGGCGGCATCGTCTCGAGCCTGAATCGCCCGTACATACATACAAACATACACTTATGCAGAAGGTCTCGCCCTCTCTGTCTGTGTCTATCTAGCTATCTTTATATGTATGTACCCACATCTGATACATGTATGCACACATACACACATACACACATCCATCCATCCATCCATCCATCCATCCATCCATACATACATACATACATGCATACACACACACATACATAATACATACATACATAACATAACATAACATAACATAACACAACATAACATAACATAACATAACACAACACAACACAACATAACATACATAACATAACATAACATACCATGAAATACCAGAACTTAAGATAACATATGTTATGCTGTGATACGTTATGCTATGCTGTGTTGTGTAATGGTGTGCTATGTTATGTTAGTTTTGTTATGATATGTTATGATATGCTATGCTATGTTATGTTATGTTATGTATGTATGTGTGCGTGTATGCATACATACAAGAATACATACAAAAAGAGAGAGAGAGAGAGAGAGACAGAGAGAGGGAGAGGGAGAGAGAGAGAGAGAGAGAGTGAGAGTCAAGATCTGTCAACAGTAGGCCGCTGCAAAGGCCAGCATTTCTCGACAAAAAGTAGTGTGTTTACCTTACTTTATGATAGATCATGTCTCTGACAACACAACACATTAACAAGATTTCTAGGAACACATGCGAAATCACATTGCGTGTGTGTGTGTGTGTGTGATGCTTACAAAAATGAACATAGCCTATAGCGGCATTGACTTTATGTCGCCTGCATCCTATCTCCTCTTGGGATAAAAAACGTTAATACAAACACATAAAAAACGCAACGGCGCACGTACAACGCACAAACAAAAGCAAAGAAATGGTGACAAACGCATAAAACAACGTAACGGCGCACCTACAACGCACAAACAAACGTAAAAAACAAAGTGAAAGACCGCAGAAAAAGTAACGGCCCACACAAAACGTAGAACAAAGGTGAACAAACGCAAAACAAAGGTAACGGCACACAGGAAATGCACATGGAAACTCAGAACAGAGGCAACAGCACACAACAAACGCAAGAACAGCATACGGAAACTTACAACATTGGTAGCAAACAGATACCCAGACTGTGCCTCCAAAGGCGCCCAAAGACCCGCAAATTCATTCGAGCAAACAAATAACAACCCAGACTGTGCCTCCAAAGGCCCCAAACCCGACTGATGCTCATGATGCTCGCTTTCATTTCGCCCGAAACCCGGCTGATGCTCATGATGCTCGTTTCTGGTGGGGGCTGGTTGCTTACGCTCTTCGATTTGTGGGGCCTGTTCATGGGTTGATAGCGCCCCAACCTTTCAGAATGTTTACGGGATGTTCAGACATGCCAGACAAACTGACGAACGCACGAAAAGGTAAAGGAGAATTCGGTTTGTTTGGGAAGCTTTCGAGCGGGGGACGTTTTTTCGGGAGCCCTTCCGGACGCTGCTTTGTCGCTCACTTTTTTTTTCACCTTCTTTCCACGTTTGGCGACTGCCCGGGCACGTCTATTTCACGTGTTTTTTCCGCGTTTTTCGGCGCCTGTGAAAAACGTGCTCCCTCCGCCCCCCACCCCCTTGTCGGAGAAAACCCCCATCCTCAAATGCTCCATGACGGATATTCCCGCAAACCCGGCTTGATGGTCATGATGCTCCGTACTTGCATCCCAGACCCAGCAAACCCTAGGTTTGACTCCAACCACATGTCACAAGCACGGGCTGTTTCGACCCCGAACTCCCATTGATGTTGGAAAACAAGCCTGATTCCAGCATTATGAACAATGTCTTTCCAATCCAAAAGATGGAACTCCTTCGTTTGGATTGGGAATTGGGCCACAGGTTAGCTTACTATTACCTTCTGCGTTGTGTACAGGTTTTCCACGTTTAAATAAGATGTATTTTCAGATGTTCTAAACTTTTTTCACACCTTTCATGTTTATTTTGAGTTTAAACTGTTTCACGTGTTTTAAGATTGAAATTTGTTTTAAGTTTTTCACGCTTTTCAAGATTATTTTTTGCTTCTTTAATTTTTTGAGGTTGTGTTTCACGTGTTTTCTTGAGTGTTCTAGGTTTTGTCCACATTCTTTTACGTGTATTTTAGGTTTTTGTTTCACGTTTTTCGAGGGTCTATGACTCTTGATTCACGTCTGTTTAGCTAGCAATGACCATTTCCATTTCCTAACCATGCACCACCCCCTAGCACCCAAACCATAGCAACCTATACCTCAACTCCCATCTCACCAAAAATCCCCAATCCAAGATTTCAACCCAAGACCCCCAAACCATAACAACTTATACCGATACCTCAACTCCCACCTCACCAAAAAGCCCAATCCAAGACTTCAACCCAAAACTCCCACCTCATCGAAAAACCCAATCCAAGACTTCAACCCGAGACCCCCAAAACATAACAACCTATACCTCAACCCCAAACTCACCAAAAACCCCAACCCAAAACCCACACATGAAGAAAACCATACTATGGAACCACACCGAACCCCATAGAAAAACACCAACCTCAACTCCATACACCAAAACCTCCACAGAAAACCATATTCTCCAACCCTAAATGCCTAACCCTTGAAAATGGAAGTGGTCATCTTTAATAAAATGACGATAATAGGATTTAGGTTTGATACAACGGTTGTAACTACAATATACTTATGTTCCGTAAATTTTTTGCGGATTGTAACTACATTATACATACATGCTATTCAAATATCTGGTGTAGTATTCAGGATTGATAAGGTCGCCATATTCCTTTTCAATGTCCTTAATGCTTGTATTAATCCACTTAACAGCATTCTTTGGTTTGCCATCTAAATATATTTTGTTTTTGTTTCCTTCGCTGCTACACATTATTTCAATATGTTAAGTTAAGTCAGGATATTGTCTAACTATTTTTGATAGTAATGTTTACCTTCGAAAACAGAAATATCATACGTGACATTACGAACATCTTCATAATCAAAAACACCTTCGGTCACCTTCATATGAGTTAACTAAGCTTCTTAGCTCACTTATTTCATTTTGACAATCTATTTCATTTGTTTTCATTTCATATATCTTTTTGATAAACTTCACTTGCATTTTACACGTTTTCAAATCCGTATAATCCATTTTCCACTTAACAACATATATATATATATATGTATAGTTGCTATTTCTTTAAGTGTGTTTCTTCAGAAGTTCTTTTCTCAAGACTTATCAACAGGAATTTCAATGATTATTCTGTCCTTCTGCTTACCAGGTACGATAGAATAGTCAACCAGAAACTCGGCGTTCATAAGCAACTGCTGAGCGTGATTGAATACGTTATCAATATCGGGCTTAGGTTTCTCTGGTTCTGATGTTTCCCCTTCATCAACAAATCTATTCGGAAATTGCTCGTTTACACGTTTGCGCATTACCTTTTTTCGCTGTCTTCTTAAATCTCTGAGTTGCTTTACATCACCCACCCTTCATTAGCAAATTTAGTTCTGAGTTCGGGTACAGCACTTTGCCAGACCACGCCTGTAACGTGCCCACTTTTCGGGACCTGCACGTCCTTGGGCACGTGTATGCAACATGTGACAGTTTGCGCCCTTCTTGGTTAGTCACGATGCGTCTACTTTTGGATCGCTGCCTTCACTGTGCCGATCGCTTTCCACGCTGTACTTTGATGTACCGTGGTATACGACAACACGACTTTTGGCACAACGTTTCGCTTGTCGCTTGCTGACGGCATGAGGCATTTGTCGCAGACTTTTGCACAGTGGAAAACACGACTTTGCGCCACGAACCCCGGAAGCCACCGTTAACTGTGAGCTTCTAATTGCTCCTTTGTGTTATTTTTATTTTTGTGTGTGTGTGTGTGAGAGTACTTTCTCTCGAGGAAGTGACGTTATCTTCATACCCCGACTTTGCCACCTATGTGGCTCAAGATCGTGATGCACTTGGTGTGGTCCCTGGAAAGAGACGCTCCATTACTTTCAGGGTTGCTTTGATCTTTACGGTACGGTGTACTGTCGCAGTGTTTGTTGAACCTCGAAACATGAGGAACATCATGGGAGGGAAGGAGGCAGCAGGGCGTCTGCATTCGCGGCCTCCAGCATGGAGATTCAGTGACAAAACCAAGGCCCTGCTCTCGGGCTAGTAACCTATGTTGTCCGTATACAGCATGCGAGACGCTGACGTATTCCACGTGAAACTCACCGGTGAACTCTCTTTCTTGCACTTGGGCTCTCCAAGATCCTGAGAGAGCGGCACTTTCGTTTCCATCAGGAGGCTCTTGTACTTCTCCCGCGCATAGAACCTTTTGATCTCTCTTTTGGTTGCCTTCTCTTTCAAATGTCGCCAGGGCTGTGGTCTCGCCAAGGCTCCAGCTGGAAGCGCGTGCCAAGGTCCACATAATCTTTGCCTCAAGCGAAAGCGAAAAAGCTCCTCGCGGAGCCGGGGAAAAAAGCAGCTGCGCGCAGCTCCGACATTTTCTGCCGAGTGGCGGCAAAGCTTGGCCATCACACACCTCAGCGACCCGTCAGCGACCCGTGACTCGTCTCTGCCAGGGCCCCTTGAGGGCGTCGGCTCGCCCTGGGCCTTCATGAAGTAGGGCCTCCCAGCTTCAAGGAGACCTCTCTCTAGACAGCTCTCGGGACTCACTGTTCGGGTTGCTGCCTTGGGTAGCTGTACAACACCGCAGCCTGCCAGCAAACCGCATCCGCCCTCATCGCTTTTAAACCCGAAAAAAAATTCCTCGTCGATGAGGGAGCCCGGGGGCTTGATGGTGCAGAGCCTAAGTCCAGCGGATTCCAGCGGGCCATCGGTGCCGTCGCTGCGGCCCTGAGCTCCCCGGCTGGCTGCCCTTGTAGCAAGAGATCGTGCCCATCAGCACCACGAAGAGGCCATCACCTGGCCAAAGCAGATTCTTAAATTGGCCACTCCTCTCTTGCGATGTTTTGCACCTGCTTCGCCCTCTTGGCACAGCGGCTCGCCGGCGTAGCGCAGGTGGATCTCCATCGCCTTAGTTGTGGTTCAACTCGCAGGACAAGCGGGACCATGCGGATGCTCTGAGGGTGTGGCGCGGACGAACTTGGTGATCTCCACGTCCGTGAACTGTGACAGAAGGTGTGACGAGTGTCGACTCAGGGACTCAGGTGCGCTCTGCCGGCAGGGCCCCCCCCCCCCC